AAGGCTGGTCAGGCTGAAGTCCGAAGCCCAGAATTCCACCTGGGCCTCCCGCGTGGGTGTTGCAGGGGCCCGAGCGATTGGCCCACCTCCTGCTATCTTCCCAGGAGCATTAGCAGGAAGCTGGATCAGAAGTGGAGACGCCAGGGCTCTAACCAACACTCGGATAGGGGGTGACAATGTCGCGAGTGCCACCCTTGTGAGCCGCACGCCGGCCCCTCCTCACCCCCTGAGATGCCTGCTTCCAAGGCTGGCACTTGGCTGGTGGCTGCGAGCTCTGGATTTCGAGAAGGCACTCCCTGGCTGAGGAGGGTGTGCCTCAGCTGAACACAGAGCGTGATGCTTGCCAGCTATCTGCTTGCCTCCCGGGACCCTGGGATCAGGGTATGTGCCAGGAAGAGGTGCCCGGTAACGCTCTGGGTGTCTGCGCTGAGCTTCCCTGACTGGCAGTGTTGCACACATAGTACCACAACATGCTGCTGCAGGAAGTGTGTCTTTGGCGTCTCCCCTAAGAGAGACCTTGGGAGCTTGCATCTGGTTTTCCCTGGATTTTGCTCCATGTCCCTCCCACCGGCCTTTTTTTTTTTTTTTTTTTTTTTTTTTTTTTGTGCTGATTGCCTTTGCTTGCATCCTTCTTTGTAATTGTGAGCACAGCTGTGGGCAGTCCTGTGCGTCTTCCTGGTGATTCATCAAAGCTGGGTGAGCTGGGGAGACTCCCGGCCCAAGACCGCAGCAAAGCAGCCAGACACCTTTGCGTGGGCTGAGTCAGGGGAGTCCTGGGGCTGCCGGGCAGCTTCTACTTCCTCTTGCATACGGCAGGGCCGCGCCTGCTCACTGCAACCACACACACGCTGAGAATTGCTAGGACACCCACAGACCGCATGTGCAAATCCTATTATCCAGGTGTATGAACCCCTAAGGGAGGAAGGCTCGTCTTCGATCCGCAACTCGCACAAGTAACGCACGCAAGGAAAAAGCTCTCAGGGGCACAGGATCCTGGTTTATGTCGTGTGGAGAGTCCTTTTAAACCCTTTATCTTGGCCGGCGCAGCGGCTCACTAGGCTAATCCTCCGCCTTGCGGCGCCGGCACACTGGGTTCTAGTCCCAGTTGGGGCGCTGGATTCTGTCCCGGTTGCTCCTCTTCCAGGCCAGCTCTCTGCTGTGGCCAGGGAGTGCAGTGGAGGATGGCCCAGGTCCTTGGGCCCTGCACCCCATGGGAGACCAGGAGAAGCACCTGGCTCCTGCCATCGGATCAGTGCGGTGTGCCGGCCGCAGCGTGCTGGCCGCGGCGGCCATTGGAGGGTGAACCAACGGCAAAGGAAGACCTTTCTCTCTGTCTCTCTCTCTCTCACTGTCCACTCTGCCTGTCAACAAACAAACAAACAAACAAAAACAACCCTTTATCTTGGGGTGGGGGTGTGGTGCAGCAGTGGCGATGTGGCTGGCGATGCCCGCATCCCATGCTGGAGGGACTGGGTTCAAGTCCCGGCTCTGCTTCTGAGTCCAGCTTCCTGCTGATGCACACCCCGGGAGGCAGCAGGTGATGGATCAAGGACCTGGGTCCCTGACGCTCACATGGGGAACTCAGAGGAAGTTCCAAGCTCCAGGCTTTGGCCTGGCCCAGCCCCAGCTGTTGCAGCCATCTGGGGAGTGAACCAGCAGATGGAAGCTCGCTCGCTCGCTCTCTCTTCTCTCTGCTTCTCTCTCCTCTCCCCCTTTCAAACAAATGAAAAATAAGAAATTTCTGAAGGCTTTGTCCCTGCTCCCCAGTCTCACAGCCACTGGCAAGTCTACACAGTGACAAACCACTGTAGGTACCCACAGGCCACACGGACACCCAGATCCCTGTGGAAATACACAGTGGGGGCCACAGGCATCCGTTACTGCCAACCCACCAGGGCTGTCGGGTCCACCTTTCCTAACTGTCATTTCCTGGCGCTCCCGGCTCAAGCCTGTCACCTCCAGTTTATCCTTCTAATCTTCTTTCAGCAAATGGCTTTTTGGAGCCGAAGATGAGTTCAGAGAAGTGTCTGGCAGCACGATACTTGGCCTTCTGAACTCCCATAAACTCACAGGCAATCCTCGATCACTTGTTCACGCCTCCAATCACAGACTAACCAAGCGACTGGGCACAGCGGTGGCAAAGCGCTGGAATACAGAGGTGCTGGACTTGGTCCTGGGGTCCCTGCGGCACGAGTTAGTCTACAGAGATGTCCACAGACACAGTCTGCAAACTCCCAGAGAAGGACAACCTGGTCCTCGGGTCAGCCAGGAGCCACCGGAGGTATTTCAGAGAGGAGGAATTCAACGCAAGCATTGGCTTGCATGGGAGCTGGAACTTGAAAGAGAATCGTGGCGGTGTGGCAACTCCAGGGCTGGTGGGGTGGAGGACTGAGCAGGGCAGAAGCTGGAAGCTGGGACACGGGTCAAGCAGAAGGCAGACCTAAGTCATGATGTAGCAGCGAGGATGGACGCGAGGAGCTCAAGGACAGACGGGCAGGGGTGGGAAATCCCACCTGCCGTGGGACGAGGGGAGCAGGGGACATCGGGCAGGACTCGGAGGTCTCCGGCACAGGGAGGAGGAGCCAGTGGCAGGGGGAGTTACAACCCTCGCCAAGGACGTGCACCGCGATCCTCCTAGAGGTGCCGCCTAGTCCCTTGGTCACCGCTTTGCGACACCCCTGTGCTAACCATGAACAGAATGTGTTGGTCTCACGGTAGGAAATACTGAATGATGGATGGTTCAAAGGAAGCTGAATCCAATCTAAGAAGGCCACCCCCTCGGGTGTCCAGTCTGTCTGTGGGACCTCGACGGCTTCCCCCACAGATCACACCCTCGCCATTTTCAGGGGCATTTTTTGCAACTGGATGGTGGTGTCCATCTCTACCTCCCATCCTTGGAGTATCGGCCAAATGGACACGAAAACATTCCTGAGTTTCTTGGAGTCTCCAAAACAGTTGGCTTTTGAGAGCTGAGCCCACTGGAGGAAAGACTGGAGCACCTGCCCTAACGACAGCGATGGTGTGGTGTGCCAAGCACCCCAAAATACGCCCAGTCCACCAAATACTCAGTGCTCCCGCTCGGCCACGTTCAAAGGCCACCGTCCCGGAACTGCAGCCTCCATCCAGGCTCACTTTGGCAAGGGCTTCCCTGGCTTACATCAGTCTGAACAACACCACAACCACGAAAACAGACGCTTCTGTCGAAATCATTTCCTTGGAAACAAGCGTCATTTGTAACCGCGCTGGACAACCGGCAAAGCAGCAAACCTTCGCTCCACCTAATCAATTTCCATCATGAACCTGGATAAGACTTGGCGTTTGGAGCACTCGTCTCCATAATGATTGGCTGAGGCAAACGTCTGTGTCTTTTAAAATCCTGCACCACTTACGAATTCTTCCCCGATTTGGAGGAACTGCAGGTTCCCTACGAGATGAGAACAGGGGATGGACTTTTTTAAAATGGGATCCACCAAGTGAAAAAAAAATAGAATGCAAAATCATATCCTCCTCATTGGTATCCAAAAACAAGACAATGAACAGCGCCACGTAATACAATAAGAACCCTGTCATCTTCTGCCTTATTTATATCATTAGCACATTGTTGGAAAGAAGTAAAACTCTGCCAAGAATTACCCATATCCCCCAGAAATACTTCCTATGTGAGACAGTATTTACAAAGCATATTTTTATTCCTGATAATATAAATGCTATTAACCCCGTATGAGAGGTCTTCGGAAGCTCATGAAAAATGTGTATTTTGAAAAAAATCCATGCATGGGTTTCAAAAATGTTTTTATGCTTTATCGTAATTCTGTATTTCCATGGGTTTTCTGAACTGCTCCTGGAGGCCCACAGAATTCCCTTGCTCGTTGCCAGTAGCGCTACAAATCGGTACACATGCCTTGGGAAACAGTCGGGTGTTGTGAATGGGGAACGCTCGCATTCTCTATAATCCAACAATTTCATTCAAAATAAACTCCTGAGTATGTACAAGAACCTTCAGGGCGTCCCAGCAACAGAAAAATTCACAAATAAGAAGTGCTACTGTCACATCCCGGGGTTTCCACAGCAGTCAGGATAATAATCATAATGCTGACCCTTATCACACAAATGTAGACTTTTCCCCAAAAAATTTACTTATTTGACAGGCAGAGATACAGAGAGAAAGAGACAGATAGAAAAAGATTTTTCCATCTGCTGGTTCATTCCCCAAATGGCTGCAACAGCCAGGGCTGGGCTGGCCTGAAGCCAGGAGCTTCGTCCTGGTCTTCCACGTGGGGGGCAGGGACCCAAGCGCTGGGCCATCCTCTGCTGCTCTCCCAGGTGCATCAGCAGGGAGCTGGGTTGGAAGTGGAGCAGCCAGGATTTGAGTCAGTGCCCACATGGGATGCTGGTGTAACAGGGAGTAGGTGAACCCTTGCACCACAATACCGACCTCTGTATACTTCTTCATAAAGCTAAAAATGTAAAATACAGATAAATATGACATATGGATATAAGGATCCTTCAAAATATATGCAGGAAATCTGAATAAAAAGGTAGGTTTGGGGTGGACATTTGTCATAGGGGTTAAGATGCCTCCTGGGACACCCACACATCACATCGGGGTATCTGGGTCCAAGTCCCAGCTCTGTTCAGATCTCAGCAACCTGCTGCTAACACCCTGGGAGGCAGTAGGTGGCGCTCAAGTACCCGGGTCCCTGGCACCCAAGTGGGAGACCTGGATGGAGTTCTATGCCAGGCTTTGGCCTGGCCCAAATGTTGCTAGCATTTGGGGAGTGAACCAGCACATGTGTGTGTGAGAGAGATCAAATAAAATTAAATATAAAAAAATTAAAGATACATTATTTTGGTGCAAAAGAATTGAAATCCAGGCACTTTTTTTTTATAATAAACATTACTCTTCCATGAACTTTCTGAAGGCTCGGTATATGCATGAATTTCAGTTTTTTTGCACCAAAATAAAGTTGTCTTTTAATTCCATTTTTCCACAAACTTTTTGAAGTATCGTCTCTCTCTCTCTCTCTCTCTCTCTCTCTCTCTCTATATATATATATATATATATATATATACATTTTTCTATAAAGCTACAAATAATTGAATAAAACATAGAGGCTTTTAAATTTGCATGTAGATAAAACTAAGGAGAAAGGAGTGAAAGGGGAAGGTGGTCAGCATTTGGGATAAGAGTCATCCTGGAGGGGCCAGTGCTGTGGCGTAGTGAGGAAAGCTGCCACCTGCAGTGCTGGCATCCCGGGTGGGCGCCAGTTCGAGTCCTGGCTGCTCCACTTCTGATCCAGCTCTCTGGTATGGCCTGGGAAAGCAGTGAAAGATGGCCCAAGTCCTTGGGCCCCTGCACCCACGTGGGAGACCTGGAAGAAGCTCCTGACTCCTGGCTTCAGATCAGCCCTAGCTGTTGCAGCAGCCACTTGGGGAGTGAACCAGTGGGTGGAATATCTCTCTCCCTCTCTCTCCCTTGTAACTCTGACTTTCAAATAAATGATAATCTCTAAATAAATCTCTAATAATCTCTAACTTTTAAAAAAGAGTTATTCTGCAGAGGAAAGGCCAAAAGATGGGATAGAATTGTGCGCAGCCACAAAAAACAAACCCACTTTTTCTCCAAACCTCAGGCTTCCTTAGTGAAAAGTAAATATTGGAGAGTGATCTTTCCAAAAGCCAGCAGGTAGGCCTGGCTGCCCAAGAGCTGGCCCCTATGAAAACGAGGTCGAGGAATTTTTAAAAATTCTTGTGCTCCCCTTCCGGCTCACAAGCGCTGCACCTTGCCTCTGTCGCACGCGCTTGGAGCAGTTCTGAGAGCTGAGCGTGGGAGAAGGCTGGAGGAGGAGAGACACGTGCTTACCTCTGTGTGCAGGACTGAGCCGCAGGCCTGGAGGGGGCTGGGCCTTTGACCCCAGCTCCAGGGATGGCTGTGCCTGGTCTGGAAGTGGGGATGGGAGCAGCGCCAAACAGCCTAAGTGTTGACAGGCACAGGAGAGGCAGAGGTCAGCACCTGCCAGAAGGTCATGGGTCGGGCGAACAGCTTTCCCTCCAAAGGGTCCTCTCTGCAGGTGGACGCTCCTCCCTGGGTGCATGGAGACACACGGCCTGCAAGCCGGGTGCCCCTGGGTGAGCCCCTAAACCTCATTTGTTCTGCTTTGGTTCCCCGTTCCTAGCCAGCCTCGACTGGAACCAAACCAGAGCGTGGTGCCGCGTGCATGTCAGGACCCAGTGGTCCCACCCAGGGGAGCTGGGCAACAGTTCCTCCCACTGTGGAATCTAGAAATGTCCAAAAATGAAATACAGGGGTGGGCATGAGGGCACAGCGGGTTAAGCCAGCATCTGTGACGCCTGTGTCCCAGATGGGGGTGCTGGCTCCAAGTCCTGGCTACTCTGCTTCCAGTCCAGCTCCCTGCTAATGCACCTGGGAAAGCAAGAGAAGATGACTGAAGTACTTGGGCCCCTGCACCCACGTGGGAGATCCGGATGGAGCTCCTGGCTCCTGGCTTCAGCCTGGCACATCCCCAGCTGTTGCAGCCATCTGGGAAGCGAACCAGCCAGCAGATAGAGGATCTCTCTCTCTCCTCCTTGTCTCGCCCGCTCTCTGTCTCTCTACCTTTCAGATACAGCAGTAATCTCTTTTTAAAACTATAGCGCTGGACTTTGCAAACACATGCATGAAGCTTGTTCCTGCCCCAGCCAGCATTTGTCTCCACAACCTTATCAGCAAGCAGTAGTTACACAGAGGATCTGCATATTTGAGATTACCTTGAAATGCCAACTGTCTAGAGAACACTATTTTAAGAAAAGAAGATGGAACATCTTTGTTCTTCCAATTAAAGGCAAGCAAGGGGGGGGGGGGCTGGTGCTGTGGCGTAGCAGGTAAAGCCTCTGCCTGCAGCACTGGCATCCCATACGGGCACTGGTTCTAGTCCCAGATGCTCTACTTCTGATCCAGCTCTCTACTGTGGCCTGGGAAAGCAGTGGAAGATGGCCGAGGTCCTTGGGCCCCTGCACTCACATGGGAGACCTGGAAGAAGCTCCTGGCTCTGGATCAGCGCAGCTCCAATCATTGTGGCCAGTTGGGGAGTGAACCAGCAAATGGAAGATATCTCTCTCTCTCTCTCTCTTTGCCTCTACCTTGTAACTCTGCCTTTCAAATAAATAAATAAATAAAAGGAAGGAAGGAAGGAAGGAAGGAAGGAAGGAAGGAAGGAAGGAAGGAAGGAAGAAAAGAAAAGAAAAGAAAAGAAAAAAGAAAAGAAAGGAAAAGAAAAAGAAAAGAAAAGAAAAGAAAAGAAAAGAAAAGCAAGGTGCAAAAGCATGAGGCCAGAGCAGAGAGCTGGATCGGAAGTGGAGCAGCCAGGACTTGAACCGGTGCCCATATGGGATGCCAGCACTGCAGACCTGGTTCACTAGAAGCAGGTGCCCAGGGCTCATAAACCCCACATTGACCTCCATGCTTTAGAGCATCAGGTAAACACGGATAATGCCGAAACACTGAACTCAAGGGGGAAGAGGCTGAGGTCCCAGCTGGGACAGGCACTGGCTCTGCTGCCCAGCGGGCCGGGTGAGGCTCGCTCTCCATCAGCTTCTGGGCTGGCGACTTTGGATCCCAGCTACACCCCCTTCTCTCAAACCTCGGAACTCCTCACCTGCACAGCAGGACAATACAGGAATCCATCTCACAGCGCGGCCGCGAGGTTGAAATGAATGAAACGTAGAACAGAGCACAGGGACCGTAGCTGACAGGCGCCGCATGTTACGTCCTTTGCCACAGAGCGACACTGATAGCAAATCACTGTCATGGTATGTCCTGGTGAAACGGTCGCACGCCAGGGTGTGGGGAGTGAGAGGAAAAGGCCACTGCTCCTAACTCCAAGGACACCGCGCTGTCGTACGTGCAAGGGGACTCCACAACACTCATGGAAATATGGGAGTAAAAGAGAAGTGAATTTAGGTGCACCGAAGTTTAGAAACGCATGCATAGCTTTCTTTGTACTACGTATTTTTCATGAATTTTTTTAAGATGTATTTATTTATTTGAAGGGCAGAGTTAGTGAGAGAGCGAGATTTCCCATCCTCTAGTTCACTCCCTAAATGGCCACTAACAGCCAGGACTGAGCCAGGCCGAAACCAGGAGCCAGGGGCTTCTTCCAGGTCTCCATGGGTTCAGGAGCCCAAGGACTTGGGCCATCTTCTACTGCTTTCCCAGGCCACAGCAGAGAGCTGCATCGGAAGTGGAGCAGCCGGGACTCGAACCGGCACCCATATTAGATGCCAGCACTGCAGGCCAGGGCTTTAACCTGCTGAGCCACAGCGCCAGCCCCTTTTCATGAACTTTTTAAAGACACCCTCCACCCAATATGCATGGATTTCAAAAACTTTTTACAACAAAGTAATTCTAATGTTTGTTTTTTTTTTTTTAAAGCTAATTATTGATTTACTTGAAAGGCGGTGAGACAGTGTATCTGCTGGTTCACTCCCCAAATGCCCTCAAAGGCTGAAGTGAACTCTTCCCAGGTCTCCCACGTGGGTGGCAGGGACGCAGCTGCCTGAGTGCTCACCCCTGTCTTCCAGGGTCTGCATCAGCTGGGGGCTGGAGTCAGAAGCCGGAGACAGGAGCTCCACTGGGGATCGTGGGCAGCCTAGCTGGCACCTCCCTGCTAGGCTGGCCATTCGCTCCTCCGTGAACTGTTTTAAGCATCCTCCTATGGTGCAGCCAAGTGGACCAAGGAGCACACAGAAACCTTGTGAGAAGGGCACCTTCGCAACACAGCTCAGCTTTCGCCGCCACTGCGAATGAACAACAGGCAGGGGTGCCCCATCTCGGAGTGGGAGCCATCGCTTAGCTTCAGCGGGACCCCCACGTTCCCAGGAGCTTCACAGGGATGCCACACGCCTCTAGAAGCCTGTCTCTGAAGGACTAGGAAAGGGGCCAGCGATGGGCACCGGTTCGAGTCCCAGCTGCTCCACTTCCGATCCAGCTCTCTGCTAATGCACCCGGGAAAGCAGTGGAAGATGGCCCAGGTGCTTGGGCCCCTGCACCCGCGTGGAAGACATGGATGAAGCTTCTGGCTCCTGGCTTCAGATCGGTGCAGCTCCGGCCATTGCGGCTATCTGGGGAATGAATGAGCAGATGGAGGACCTCTCTCTCTCTCTCTTACTCTCTCTGTAACTCTGCCTTTCAAATAAATAAATAAAACTTTAAAAATGCTAAATGACTAGGAAGGACCGTAGGAACGCTGCAGGGTGCAGGAGGGCTACCCCTGGCCGGGGGAGGTGAGCAGAGTGATGTGAATTTCATTCAGCAAATAGATAAAGCTGGGTCTGCCCTGCAACATGGGCCTCACCTGTGAACCCGTTCGCAAGGCCCACTCAGAGCCCCCTGCCTGCGCCCAGAGCCTCAGAATCTCAGCAAGCAGGCCCGCACCTGTGTTTTACCAAGCCCTGCAGGGAATGCTAATGCCCCTTCAGGTTTGAACACTGCTCTGGGCGATCTGAACTCTCAAGGCTTAAACCCAACCCTCCCAGGAGACATACCCGGGGGGAATAGGGTTGGTTATCTCTGCAATCCCACACGGCTCCCGGGATAATCCTAACCTCGCCCCCCACAAAGTGCCAAGCTGGGTTCCAACCCAGAAGACCACCTGCTGTATCCGCTGCATCTGTGAGTCTGCTGTGCCCGGCCCAAGGCAGGCATCGGAACGGTGGGCGATGTGCAGGTAAGTGAGCAGCCCTTCCCATGAGCGGGTGCCACGCACAAGCACCTGACTGGCGCCCCCTCCCCCCCCGCCCCGGTCCCTAATAGGGTGACCGCATCTCCCCAGCCAGAAAGGGCAAGGACTCTCTGTCGGCCGCTGACTCCAAGCAGCCGCCGCAGGTCCCACAACTGCCGGGACAGGAGCCCTCTGACCACCTCCTCTTCTCCCTGCCCGCCAGCGATCTGTCCACAGGTGTACCCACGCTTGGGGGAGCCAGGTCAGGGTTCCCAGCCCTTGGCCAAAGGCATTGCTCCTCCTGCTGGAGCACAAGCTGCCAAGTACCTTGCCCTGGGTACCTGGGCTTGGGGGTCCCCCTCCCCGCCCCGTCAGCCGCCTCCCGCCCCCCTCGGACGCCCCACACCTGGGCACTTCCGTACCTGTAGTAAGACAGCAAGCCATTGCCCAGCACGAACCAGCGGCGCTGGTAGCCCTTCAGGTAGTTGGTCCACTTGAGAAGCCAGCCCTTGAAGCTGTCCAGAGTCAGGGAGCCCATGGGGGTGCTGGCGCTCGGGCCAGTCGCTGTCGCCGGAACCCCGAGCGGTGCTTTGGCCTGTCCGGGTCGCAGGAGCGGCAGCGGCTTTATGGCCGGCACCAGCCCCGACTCGGTCTTGGGCCCCGGCGCGCCCCCCACGGCCGGGGCCAGCTGCTCCGAGGAAGCCCTGGAGGGGGTCGCGGGCGCCGCCCCGCACGGGCTGGACTCCGACCTCGGCCGCACCTTCAGCGACAGCTCCAATCCCTGCCCGGTCGCCGGCCCTGGCTCCGACATCCTCTCGGATCGCTCAGACATCTTGAGAGCGCGCTCAGAAACCGGCTCCCACGCCTGCTCCGCCAGCGACGCCGGCTCCGGTACCCGCACCGGCTGGGGCTGGAGCTCCAGCTCGGAGCCGGGGGTGGGCGCGCTCATGCCCGGCGCCGCCGTGTGGCAGGACAGGCAGGGGACAACGGTGAGGAGCGACGAGAGCCCGCGGGAGCGGCCGCCGCAGCCCCCGCTTCGGCTCGGAGCGGCCGCTTTCCCCATAGAGCCCGGAGACCCGAGCGCGGCCGAGCCGGCCGTGGGGGTGGGGCGGGCCGGGGGCGCCGTCGCGTGCGCGCGGCCTGCCCCGCGCCCGCCGGCTGTTGTCCTGCGGGCGAGTCGGGGATCCGATCTGGACCCCCGGGCCGGGCCCTGGGAGCGCGCCCTGGGAAGCACCTGTGCACCTGTGCACCTGCGCTGGGCGGGCGGGGCAAGCGGCGGGGAGGGCGCGTCGCGGGCTGCCACCCCTGCCCGCGTCCCAGCCCGTGCCAGGCGCTGGGGAAAAACAATACTGAACGCCCAGCCCGCCGGCTGCCAGCGCCGCTCTTCCCAGCGCCGACGCCTCCCCGCTCCCAACCCCACCCCGCGGCTGGCTGCAGCTCGGGAGAAGGAGGCGGCAGCAGGTGCAGCGCTCAGAACCCACTAAATGCACCTGAAGCACCTGGGGCCGGCCAGGGGGCGCTAAAAGACAAGGTTGTTTTGTTTTTGTTTTTTAGTAAGCCAAGCGTTTTAGCCACAAGGAACACAAGTAAGAGGTTCTCGCGACTCCCTTGATGCTTGCAGCATCCAGGGACACTTTTTTCTAGAGACAGCATGCTTGGTTCCCAAAGGGATCTGACACCAGCGTCACTGATGTTAAAGAAACTCTCCGAAGGGGGAGCTTCGGGGGTCGTTCCAAATGACCAGTTTGGGAGGTCACGTCCGGGCTGCTCCTGCCCTGACCCCTCCCTCTCCCTTCTGTGCAGGCTCCTCTCCCAGCACACTCACCTGCCCGAGCCGCCCGTTACCCAGCAGCCCAGCCTTGGCTTGTGACAGCACGACCTGTGCAGAACCGCCTCCTCCACGGGCGGTGGACGGGCCAGTCCCAGAAGGCAGGCGTGCGGACACGGACACACCTGCTGAGCAGGGGGGTCCCTGCCGTCTCTGCGGGGGGCTCTGGGACCCCTGCTTGGAGCCTTGTCCCAGAATGGTGGTCTTACCACACCACTGCTGGGAGCCCATAGCACTGACATCTGCACATCTTGGTCTGTCCTGTGAGTACGACAGGGGGCCTCCAACATTGGGGTGCAGAGGTACCCCCAAGGAAAGGTGACTGCCTCTGGGGAGCAGGGAAATGGGGTAAAGTGCTTGCTGTTCACTGTACCTTTCTTATGATTAGTTGTTTGAAAGGCAGAGTTGCAGAGAGAGACCTTCTGTCTGCTGGTTCACTCCCCACAGGCCTGCTGCAGAGAGAGACCTTCTGTCTGCTGGTTCACTCCCCACAGGCCTGCAGCCAGGCGCCTGGCACTCCTTCTGGGTCTCCCACGTGGGTGCAGGGGCCCAAGCACTAGGGCCATCTTCCACTGCCCTTCCCAGGCACACTGGCAGGGAGCTGGATTGGAAGAGGAGCAGCCAGGACTTGAACCAGCACTCAAATGGGGGTGTTGGCGCTGCAGATGGCAGCTCAACCCACTATGCCACAGCCCAGGTCCATGGACCATGTCTTGATGGACGGTGGTGTGGGGGAGGGACATCTTGGACTCCAGGAGCCAGACCCACTAAGGAAATCCCAGCTGAGCAACCCCTGACTGTGGGATAGTCAACAGCGTCTCTCTGAGCTGCTGCTTGCTCCTCTGCGGAGGAAGATGCTAATACCTCATTCCCAATTTGTAACAAAGGCACCTGAAGCGCTCTGTGAAATGCTGGGGGGTGGGGAGAGGCTGGCACTGTGGTGTCTCGGGTAAAGCCGCTGCCAGCAGTGCCGGCATCCCATATGGGCGCTGGTCTGAGTCCTGGCTGCTCCACTTCCAACCCAGCTCTCTGTTGTGGCCTGGGAAAGCAGTAGAAGATGGCCCAAGTCCTTGGGCCCCTGCACCTGCATGGGAGACCCAGAAGAAGCTCCTGGTTCTTGGCTTCAGATTGGTGCAGCTCTGACCATTGGGGCCAATTAGGGAGTGAACCAGCGAGTGGAAGACCTCTCTCTCCTTCTTCTCCCTCTCCCTCTCTGCCTCTGACTCTCTGTAACTCTGCCTTTCAAGTAAATAATAATAATAATAATAATAATAAAGAAATATTGGGGGAAATGTGTTAAACCGAGGCCAGAGCGGAGAGCAAAGAGACCAAGGTGGACAAGCCGGGGAAGCAGAGCAACGGGAGAAGTCTGGGCGTGCTATGTTCCCATCAGCCCTCCAGGAGAGGAGCCGGTTAGTAAACAAATACCTGCAAGACGTGGCCCCGCCCCCTGAGACGTCAGGGCCTTACGTCATTAGTTCTGCCAGGGCAGGTGAAAAGGACGCACTGAAGGCGCCAGGTTTTCGCCCAGAGGACAGGGCGTGGCCAGACGCGCGAGGTCTCGTGGGCTGTGAGCGTCCTCGGAACTGGGCTCGCTTGTGAAGCTTCTTACGCGCGATTGCCGGTCAGCAGGTGCCACAGAAGACCGTGCCGGAGCCAGCAGGATCCGGAAGCCGCCATGACCTTACACAAACCATGCGTCCACAGGTGCACCTGCCTCAGCCGGAGTCCCTGTGGCCACGGAGGCCGTGTCAGAACGTTGGGTGCCAGCCTCCGGTCTTTCCTGTTAACTTCTCCCTGCCTCACCTCTGGAGCTTGCTCGCGGTTTCTATGGCATGCGTATTCCCACTGCAGTTCTCTGCTATTTCCAAATATTCCTTGGAGACTCTCTCTGATTTTTTTTTTTTTTTAGGTTGACAAAAGCAAAGAAGCAAAGACACCAGTGTGCACAATGCCCCACATCAGGAGAGAACAGTTTGTCTTGGAAATGATAAGTAGCTCAGCAAAGCTGAGGTAAAGGCCCGGCAGGTGTTTTGGTTAAGGTGCCACCTGGGCCACTGGCACCCCTGTTAAAGTGCCTGGGCCCCAGTCCCGGCTGTGGGCTCAGGCTCAGGTCAGCTTCCTGCTAACGCACACCCTGGGAGTAGCCAGTGATGGCTCAGGTACTGAGGTCCATGCCACCCACGTAAGAGACCGAGATTAAGTTCTAGGCTCTTGGCTTTGGCCTGGCCCAGCCCTGGATGTTACATTCAGGGAGTGAACCAGCAGGTTGAAGATATATATATATATCTCTCAGGTTATTTTTAAAAACGATAATGATTGCAATAGGCTCACAAATCAACTACATAAAAATTCAAAAGTTAAAGCCTCAACTTCCTAAAGTTACAAAAGACAAAACAAAAATACACATCGTTTTCGGTCTCCTTGAAGGTTAGTAGGACACCATTCAGAAAATAATAAAGGGGAAGAATTTAGCCTGTATCCTGCCTCTCCTGTGCTGCCTGAATCTCATAGCAACCGAAGAGTTTATGAGGGGAGACTCTTTAGAGAAGAAAGCTAATACATGCAGAAGAAATGACAGAGTCGGAACAAAGCACCACCCTTCCGGGACTCCCAGTGAGAAAGTGGACCAAGGTCAAGATCATCACCAGCTGCTAAGTTGGTGAGGTTGATGGAGAACTTTGGGAAAGAACAGGTGACATCAGCCGAACGTGCCGATCAATCTTGGCCTCACCAGAAACACAAGGACAGGCGACGCCGTGCGCCTCCTGCTGCGGCCCGGAAGGAAACACACAGCACAGCCCACATCCCAGACAAGCTGCGGCTGAGGCTAACCAGGCTTCCAGCTCAGTCATTATAAAAGAAGTGCAGGCAACAGGCGCACAGATTAAACTACATGAGGAGTGGAAGGAAATGTGATGGCCAGAGGGCCAGTGTGAGGAGCAGGCACTTGGCATAGTGGTAAAGATGCCATTTGGGGGGCAGCGTTGTAGCACAGTGGGTAAAGCCACCATCTGCATCGCCTGCATCCCAATGGGCACCAGTTCGTGTCCTGGCTGCTCCACTTCCAATCCAGCTCCCTGCTAATGGCCTGGGAAAAGCAGAGGAGGATGGATCAAGTGTTGGGGCCCCTACCACCCATGTGGGAGACTGGATAAAACTCTTGACTCCTGGCTTTGGTCTGGCCCAGCCCTGGGTGTTGTGGGCATTTGAGTGAACCGGTGGGTGGATGGATGGAAAGCAAAGCTCACCCTGAAAGCACACTGCTGTATACGCCCGGGGTTTTCTGGCATCGCTCAGAGCAGCAGCTATTTTGGAAGCGCTGTGTGTGCAGAGCTCTGTGCCCCATCGCAGGATCTGAGAGAGGCAGCCAAGGGCAGAGACCGCCCCCAGCTCCCCCACCCACGAGGTGCAGATGCAAGGGCTGCAGGTGGAAAGAGGCTCCCTCGGGGACCGGGGGCAGAAGGGCTCAGTCCAACGCGTGCCCTTGCTCTGTCCCCTCAGCGCCTCCCCCTCCCCACATCCCGGCCCTGCAGACTCTCAGGGTCAACAGCAGGACCCAGATCTGAAATGCAATAGCAGACAATACCTCCTGACTCTACCAGGGCATGGGCGGGGATGTGGGTCTCCTCGGCAGCACACACAGGCAGGCAGCCTGCTGAGCGCCTAAGCGCAACTGTCTGCTGACCCCTTGTGGTCACTATGGGATCTGCCTGGGTTCCACCACCTGGGCCTTGGGCACTCCCCTGGGACACTCTGGCCTGGTGACCTCATTTCTCAGAGCAGTTTCTCACCTTGTACCTTGTGAGGGCCTCTTGAAATCCTGGAGGATGAGGGGAGCTGGGGTTCCCATTCCCACTTTCCAAACGAGCTGGAGCATCCTGGGCTCCCGTCCCACATCCACCCCCAGGGGCAAATCAATTTCCCAGGTTCAAGGTAAAACAGGGCAGGGCCATCTGCTCCAGACAGCTGCTCCCCAGACTGTCAGCGGAGAGGGGTGACTCATCCGGCATCAGAGCGGCTCAGGGCCCAGGCACTCGCATCCCCGGGTCACCCCACTTGCCCATGCCGGTCAGGAAAAGCCAGAGGTGTCCCAGCAAACAGGAAAACCGGTTCCTCCACCTTTGCCTCCAGTTGCTGCTGAAGAGCCCACAGGGAGGAGCGGGCAGACGCACCGCACGAGAACTTGGAGATGGCTCTCAGCGCCAGCGGGCAGAGCTGGCTGTCTCCCCCTCCTCCCTGCCGAGCTGTCCCTCTGAGTCCAGCCGTCCTGTGCTTTCACAGGCCGCTGTGATGCCACTGAGCTGGGATTCTGAAGTCACTGCCCCTCCTGACAGACAGGGGCGAGGCCTACGGAGAGGGGCATGGTCCTCTTAACACTTCCTCCCTGCCCTCTTTTTTTTTTTTTTTTTTTTTTTTAGATTGAGATTGATTGGTTGATTGATTGACTTCAAACTAAGAGAGAAAGAGGGGCTGGTGTTGTGGTGCAGTAGGTGAATCATCCGCCTGCGGCACCAGTTCTAGTCCTAGCTGCTCTTCTTCCAATCCAGCTCTCTGCTGTGGCCTGGGAAAGCAGTAGAAGATGGCCCAAGTCCTTGGGCCCCTGCACCTGCGTGGGAGACCCGGAAGAAGCTCCTGGCTCCTGGCTTCAGATCAGCACAGCTCCAGCAGTTGCGGCCAATTGGGGAGTGAACGAGTGGATAGAAGATCTTTCTGATTCTTCCTCTCACTGTCTGTAATTCTACCTTTCAAATACATAAGTATTTTAAAGAGAGAGAGAGAAAGAGACAGAGAGGGACAGAGAGATCTTCTGTCTGCTGGTTCACTTGTCAAATGGCTAAAACAGTAAAGATTAGGCCATGCTAAAGCCAGGAACCTAGAACTCCATCTGGGTCTCTCACAGCATCTGTCTCCCCCTCCCCTTCAACTCTGCCTTTCAAATAAATAAATCAGAGAGAGAGAGAAAGGGGGTGGGGGGAGGAGCTTCGACCACGGGGCTAGAAGATAATCTTCAGAGGAAGCCAGGGTTGCATTTGACCTGGGCAGGAGTCTTATTCTCTGAGCCCCCGTTTCTGCTCCCTAAAATGACCTATTTTGTGGTTGGGATGATTCAATGAAATCACGCTGGCAAAGAACAGAGCTTTGTGCCTGGCTCGTGGGTGCTCAGTGCATGTTAATACGCTGACGGCTGTGATTGCTGCATGGGCCTCCAGGTGAGAAGCTGTGCCTGTGTGTGTCCATCAGACATAATCTCTGAGCCTCTCCTTAGCTTCAAGGTTCTGTTCCCCTGGGTTGGGCGTTATGGTGCAGCAGGTTAAGCCCCTGCTTGGGACCCCAGCATCCCACATCAGAGCACCCCATCTGCTCCTCTTCTGACCCAGCTCCCTGCTAATGCGCCTGGGAAAGCAGCAGCAGATGGCCCAGGTGCCTGGGCGCCTGCACCCACGTGGGAGACCTGGATGGGGCTCCTGGCTCTTGGCTTCAGCCTGGTCCAGCCATAGCTGTTATGGCCATTTGGGGAGTGAACCAATGGGTGGAAAATCTGTCTACTTATCTCCCTGTCCTTCTGTCACTTTTTTTTTTTTTTTTTGACAGAGTTAGAGAGAGACAGAGAAAGGTCTTCCTTCTGTTGGTTCACCCCCCAAATGGTCACTGCAGCCGGCGTGCTGTGCTGATCTGAAGCCAGGAGCCAGGAGCTTCCTCCTGGTCTCCCATGCGGGTACAGGGCCCAAGCACTTGGGCCATCCTCCACTGTACCCCCCGGGCCACAGCAGAGAGCTGGACTGGAAGAGGAGCAACCAGGACAGAATCCGGGGTGCTGGCACCACAGGTGAAGGATTAGCCTAGTGAGCCAGCCCCCTTTTTTTTTTTTTTAAGATTTACTTTTTTTTTTTTTTAAAGTCAGAGTTACAGAGAGAGAGAGAGAGAGGTCTTCCATCTGCTGGTTCACTCCTCAGATGGCCACAAGGGCCAAAGCTGGGCCGCTCTGAAGCCAGGAGCCAGGAGCTTCTTCTGGGTCTCCCACGTGTGAGCAGGGATCCAAACACTTGGGCCATCTTCCACTGCTTTCCCAGGTGTGTTAGCAGAGAGCTGCATGAGGTCACATCTAGGAGGCAGAAAGTTCCAGAAATGGTTTAGAGAAAGAGGCTGGGCTGCTGTGCAGGCCCCCCGGTGATTTCGGGACCCTGGAAGATCATCCGTCCTCTAGGTACCCAGAGAAAAAAAATGTTTTGTTGTTGAAATAAAATATACCAAGCCTAAGAAACAAAACAAAATGCTGCTGTCATTTTTTTATTTGTAAAGATAGCTTTTATAGTAACACATATTTAAAATCAATTTATTCTAATGAGTTGTGCTCAGCCAAGGAAACAGACAAGAACCTAGGAAAAGAAAGGCTGTTTTTGACTCCTGCTAAAAAGTAGCAGAAGCCCCAGGCGCCAAAGAGGATCATGAAGAAGAGGAAATACAAGCTGGAGCATCCGCCACCCGCCACCGTCCGGCCCAGGCTCCCTCGGCCTCAGGGCTCACTGGGATCCAGGAGAGAAGCAAGGCTGTCAGGTGCCAGGCAGCAGTGCAGGAGGGAGGGAGGGGGAGGAGGGGGAGGAGGAGGAGGAGGGAGGAGGGGAAAGGAAGGAGGGATGGGAGGGAGGGAAGGGAGGAGGAGAGGGAAGGGAGGGAGGAGGAGGGGGAAGGGAAGGGAGGGAGGAGGGAGGGAGGGAGGAGGAGAGGGAAGGGAGGGAGGGAGGAGGAGGGGGAAGGGAAGGGAGGGAGGAGGGAGGGAAGGGAGGAGGAGACGGAAGGGAGGGAGGAGGGGGAAGGGAAGGGAGGGAGGAGGGAGGTAGGGAGGAGGAGAGGGAAGGGAGGGAGGAGGAGGGGGAAGGGAGGGAGGGAGGAGGAGGGGGAAGGGAAGGGAGGGAGGAGGGAGGGAGGGAGGAGGAGGGGGAAGGGAGGGAGGGAGGAGGAGGGGGAAGGGAAGGGAGGGAGGAGGGAGGGAGGGAGGAGGAGAGGGAAGGGAGGGAGGGAGGAGGAGGGGGAAGGGAAGGGAGGGAGGAGGGAGGGAGGGAGGAGGAGGGGGAAGGGAAGGGAGGGAGGAGGGAGGGAGGGAGGAGGAGGGGGAAGGGAGGGAGGGAGACTTCCAAGGGCCTGGGATGGACTGAGGTCTTTACTAAGCAGCTGTAGTGATGCCGATTGATCCCCCCACCCCCACCCCTGGCCTGGAGTCCAGGACAAATGGTTGTAATTCTCAGCCACCAACTTGCTGCGTGACCTTGAGCAAGTCAGGCCACTTCTCCAGGCCTGTTCCCTGACTCGGGAAACGGAGGACACCTGGTTAACTTTAAAAACAAAAATGTGCGTACAGGGGCGACCACCAGGGACAGCGGGACACATACCCGAGTGCCGGGCTGGCGCCCCAGCTGCTCTGGCTTCCGATCCAGCTTCCCACCAGCGTGCACCCCCGGAGGCAGCAGTGACGGCTCAAGTATTTGGGTCCCTGCCACCCACGTGGGAGACCTGGGTGGAGCTCCTGGCTCTGCCTTTCACCTGGCCCAGTCTTGGCTGTTCCATGCTGTGGGCATTTGGGGAGTGAACCAACAGATGGGATTTCTCTTTCAAAGACAATGACAATTAAAAACATGGGCTCGGCCCTTACTCTGTGCACTGTCCCGATGCTGTGAGTGACACAAACAGGAGTAAAGGAGCATTTACCAGAACACCCCGCGACAGCTCCTTTATTAGGCACTGTGCCTACGGAGATGAGGGAGTCACACAGCCACCTCAGGATCCAGGACAGACCGGGGCGTGGCGCACAGGGCTCAGGGGGAGGGGCCTTCTCTGCTGGGGCCAGCTGGGGGCGCACCAAAGAAGGGAAACCTGAATGGAACCCGAAGTCTTGCACAGCCTCTGCCTGCCCCCAGCCCCCAGGGGACAGACCAGGGGTCTCCACAAAGATCGTGGGAACTGTGAACGCTCGGGCAGGAAATCTGGAAGTACGGATTGCCACGCGTTTCGCAGCAAAGTAAACTTACCTTTCCATTTCATTTCCCATGAACTTGTCCAAGTCCCTCTCATCCGAGGAATAGGACTGACACCGACAGCGAGGCAGGAATGAAGCCGCCCTAAGTCATCCCAGTTCAGACGGAGAGGAAACCCACGGGATGCAGGGGAGGGGCAGACAGGAACCGCCTCGTGGGCAGTGCCGCTGAGATAAGCCGTGGGAGCTGAGACATTCTAGAGGGTTCTTCACAGTGAAGGCACAGCGTGGAGACTCTCAGTGTGTGGCGGGCACAGCGCACAGAGCTCAGAGTGGGGACCAGCAAGGCCGGAGTCCTCATGACAACCTCGGGGAGTGCCAGGCCCAGGGCCAAGCCCGGGACGCCTCCGTCAGTACTTCACAGCAGATGCGCCTGCTGCTGCCCCCCACCCTTTCAGAGTAGGAAAACAGGGGCCTGGCCTTGGCCTTGTGGCACTGGGGGTGGGGGTGAGGAGAGGTCAAGCTGCTGCTTGCAACCCCGGCTTCGCTCATCAAGTTCCAGCCTCTCTGCTTCGGACCTAGCTCCCCGCTAGTGCTCCTGGGAAGGCAGCGGATGATGGCCCGAGTATCTAGTCCCTGCCACCCACGTGGGAGATCAGGATGGAGTTCCTGGCTCTGACCTTGGCATGGTCCAACCCTGGCTGTTGTGGCCATTTGGGGAGTGATTGGCAAAAGGGAGATCTCTCTCTCTCTCTCTTTCTCTCTCTCCCTGTCACTCTAACGGAGGCTGGAGGAGCTTACAAGGCACAGGGCTGATAGGCAGCTTCAAGAAAGAGCCACTTAAGCCAGGTCTGATGCCCAACCCTGACTTTTTTTTTTTTTTTTTTTTTTTTTGACAGGCAGAGTTAGACAGTGAGAGAGAGAGAGAGAGAGAGAGAAAGGTCTTCCTTCCATTGGTTCACCCCCCAAATGGCTGCTATGGTCGGCACCACGCCGATCTGAAGCCAGGAGCCAGGTGCTTCCTCCTGGTCTCTTATGTGGGTACAGGTGCCCAAGCATTTGGGGCCATCCTCCACTGCCCTCCCGGGCCACAGCAGAGAGCTGGCCTGGAAGAGGGGCAACCGGGACTAGAACCCTGGGTGCCGGCGCTGCAGGCGGAGGATTAACCAAGTGAGCCACGCGCTGGCCCCAACCCTGACCTCCTTACCACTGGAATGCCCGGTATTTGAGGCCCCTCCCATCTTAGCTATCACCAGCCCCACGTCCCTGTCCTGGCATGCCAGCGCACACACACATATGGGTACTGAAGGCTGAATTTTTTCCTCGGCCACGGGCTGGCCTATCAGCATCACCTTCTCCAGGACACGGGCGACGGCTGGGGCAAGGCACAGGAGCGCTGCTCAGTTTTGTGGTTTTTTTCTTTTTTGTGTGCTCTGCTGTCTGCTGGTCTCAGTTTATTGTTCCACGCCGGCGTGGGCTGGCTTCTTCCCAGCCTCCTCCTGTCAGACGGGCATATCACGGTGGCCCTGGGCACGTGGCTCTGCCCTGGCTAGGGCGGCTGGCTTCTCTTGTGGGGCTGGAACTTGTACACGGGCGGCAGGCTGTACAGGTACTGCCGGATGCTCATGGACTCCCGCCTCCAGCGCCCCAGCTTCCGGAGCTGTTCCAGCATGAACTTCTTCTTCAGGTGGTCATGCAGGTGGCTCATCTTTTTCTTGGTCTTCTCTGATGCTCTTATCTTAATGACAATAAAAAAAAAAAATCAGAGGTGAGGTCAGGAGCAAGGAGCCACTTCGAGGTCTCTGGGACTACCGGCATGGGGGTGGACAATGTGTAGGGTGGACGCCAAATTCTTCCAACAATTACCTTCACACATGGGGGCTTCGGCTTCTCCATTTGTAAAGAACAGGCATTAGGCTGGAGAACCCTCACCTCCGGCAAACTGCAGTCCAGGAACCTGACTTTGGCCCTGACAACCTCTGTACTTGAAGACGGATCAGAAAGACACAGGGGAGTCTCCTCCCACAATGCATCATGTGTTGCTTCCCACACACCGTGGCATCCCTGTATCACACCGAATTCTACTTATGTCGCCCACAAGGGGGCGTCACAAAGGTCAGGGAGATGCCAACACTGTGGCACCACCATGGGTTAAGCGGCTGCTTAGCACGCCAGCATCCCATACTGGAGCGCTGGTTCAGGCCCTGGCTGCTCCACTTCCAAGCCAGCTCCCTGCTGCCAGCCTGGACTTGGACCAGTACTGGGACCACTGCCACCACGTGGGAGGCCAGGATGGAGTTCCTGGCTCCTGGCTTTGGTCTAGTGCAGCCCTGGCTGTTGTGGACATTTGGAGTCTCTCTCTCTCTCTCTCTCTCTGTCCCTCCCTCCCTCCTGTGTCACTCTGCTTTCAAATAAATGACTTTAAAAAAAAAAAAAAGTTCAGGGGGTCAGTACTGTGACATAGCAGGTAAAGCCGCCGCCTGCAGTGCTGGCATCCCATATGGGCGCCGGTTCAAGTCCTGGCTGCTCCACTTCTGATCCAGCTCTCTGCTGTGGCCTGGAAAGCAGTAGAAGATGGCCCAAGTGCTTGGGCCCCCTGAACCCATGTGGGAGACCTGGAAGAAGCTCCTGGCTCCTGGCTTTGGATGGGCGCAGCTCCAGCCGTTGTGGCTAATTGGGGAGTGAACCAGCGGATAGAAGACCTCTCTCTCTGCCTCTCTCTGTGCAACTCTTTCAAATAAAAAAATCTTTAAAAAAAAGTTCATGGAAAATGGAGTTAAAATATGCTTATTTTGGTGCAAAACAATGTTGACATCCATGCAGTTTTTTCATAGTATTCACTTTCCACGAATTGTCTCGAAGTGCCATCCTGTCACGTATCCTCTGTCCTCCTGACAACAAGACTGTGAGGTCCGGGAAGGCACAGCTTATCTTACTCATTCTTTTTTGTTTGTTTAGTAGAATATTTTGGTTTCAGTCCTGGGATTTTTTTTTTAACTTAAGTTATACAAGTTTCATATATTTCATAAACAGAGATTTAAGAACGTAGTGATACTCCCCCCCCCCAACTCAGTCATTTATTTATTCCAGTGAGCTGGCTGCAGGAGAGGATACAAATATCAAGGATAGGGGCCGGCACTGTGTCACAGTGGGGAAAGCACGCGTCCCATATGGACACCCTGTTCGTGTCCTGGCTGCTCCGCTTCCAATCCAGCTCCCTGCTAATGATCTGGGGAAAGCAGTGGAAGATGGCCAAGTACTTGGGCCCCTGATACCCATATGGGAGACCTGGAAAAAGCTCCTGGATCCTGACTTCAGCCTGGCTCTGCCCTAGCCCTTGCAGCCATCTTGTGGGGAGCAACTGGGAGCAACTCGGACTAGACTAAGTTACTGGAATTAAGACTTATTCTATGCATCTGCTTTCCCACAATATGGCGCTGAGAAGGGAAACAGCTTCTACACAACTGCCTCCAGTTCAACCAATAAACTGTAGGACCTGCTCCTGATTGGAGGAGAGCAGCGTACTCGGCGTGTGGGTAGCAGAGTTGGGATTGGCGGAAGAGGACTATAAAGGAGGAGAAGGAACATCTAAGAGGAACATCTAAGGGGAACATCTGTGCAGCCCCCGAGAGAGCCGGCCGGCGGTGTGCCGCTCCCCCGCGGAAGTGGGGAATGTGGCAGGGGGAACCGCCCTTCCACGGAGGTGGAAGGGACGGTAGCCAACCTGGGAAGAACCAGCAGCAAACCCGGGGAGGGCCGAGCAGACAGAAGAACAGCGCAGGGTCCTGTGTCGTTCCTCCACGAAGACGGGGAGCGACACATCTGAGGGGTGAATCAGTGAGTGGAAGATATCTATCTCTCTCTCTCTCTTTCAAATACATAAATAAATAAATATTTTAGAAAAAATATATCAAGGATAGGCATCCACAGTAGCTACAATGTGGTCAGGAGGTGAGACACATGTCCAAATATCTCCAGGCCAGGCAGAAAGTGATACCTCCCTGGGATGTGTTATGGCGCAGGTTAAAAGCTGCCACCTGCAACACCAGCATTCAACATGAGCACCATTTCAAGTCCCAGCAGCTCCACTTCCGATCTACCTCCCTGCTAATGTGCCAGGGAAGGCGGAGAGCCTGGCCCAGCCCTGGCCATTGTGGCCACCTAGGGAGTGAACCAGCAGATGGAAGGTCTCTCTCCCTCTTTCTATAACTCTTTCAAATAAATAAAAATAAAAGAGATACACCCCTAAAAGGAAGCACAAAATTCAAAGAAAGGAAACATTAAGAAAAGCTGAATGGAAGAGCTGATACTAAACTGGGGGGAAGTGGAATTTGAAGGATGGGAAGGTTTAGGGCACAGAGAAACAGAGTCTGGTGGGAGGCAGGGTGTTTGTTGCAATAGTTAACAGGCCATCCTGCTCCCCAGTCCCAGTTCCTGCTAACCCACACCCTGGGAGGCAGCAGGTGGCGGCTCCCGTGGTTGGGTCCCTGCTACTCCTGTTCCAGGCTCCCAGCTGCCAACTGGGCTAGCCCCACCTGCTCTGGGCACTGAGGGAGTGAATGAGAAGCTGGGAGAGACCTCTGTCTGTCTGTCTCTCTTGTCTTTCAAGTAAATAAAATGAATCATTGTTTAACAGACATCTGTGGAGTATTCTGATGAGCATTAACATGATGGGAAGACCAACCCAGAGCAAGGCAGCTCTCCCTAAAGGCCAGTCCACCTTGATGGGATTCATGACTCAGGGGTTGAAGAGGGGGCCTGGGAGACATGGCATTGATAAAGACACATTGTTCCAATCGTCCTCTCTAAGTCTGGCTGAGCACAGGAAACATTTAAGTTGCTTGATTGAAAAAAAACAAAAACAAACAAACAAACAAACAAAAAACCAGTCCTCAGGGTTCCAGCTTAGAAGGATTTGGAGGGGGGCCAGGAATCTATATGGCAGTACTTCTAAAAGCTCAAGGGAAAAGAGAATTCAAGGATAAGCTATTTGGGGCAAATTATTTTGAAATCCATGTATTTGCGAGGCCGCTCTTGAGCTGTCATGGAAAATACACATTATGCACAAGTGGCCAATGCCTGAGGTGCCTGCGTCCCATATCGAGGTGCCAGTTCAAGCCCTGGCAACCCTGCTTCCAACCCTGCTCCCTGTTAATGCACCTGGGTGGCAGCAGATAGTGGGTCAAGTACTTGAGTTCCTGCCACCCTCACGGGAGAACCAGATGGAGTTCCTGGTCCCGGATTCAGCCTGAACCAGCCCCAGCTGTTGCAGCCATTTGAGACGTGAAGCAGCAAGTGGAAGATCTGTGTGTGTGTGTGTGTGTGTGTGTGTGTGTGTGAGTGAGAGAGAGAGAGAGAGAGAGAGAGAGAGACTTTGCCTTTCAAATAAATCTTGTGGGTTTCTTCTTCTTCTTCTTCTTTTTTTTTTTTTTTTTTTAGATTTCTATATTTATTTGAGAGGCAGAGTTACAGCCAGAGGGAGTAAGAGAAGAGGTCTTCCATCCGCTGGTTCACTCCCCAGATGGCCACAACGGCTGGAGCTGGGCCGATCTGAAGCCAGGAGCCAGGAGCATCTCCCAGGTCTCCCACGTGGGTGCAGGGACCCAAGCACTTGGGCCATCCTCCACTGCTTTCCCAGGCCACAGCAGAGAGCTGGACCAGAAGAGGAGCAGCTGGGACATGAACTGGTGCCCATATGGGATGGGATGCCAGCACCCCAGGCTAAGGCTTAACCTATTACGTCACAGCACCGGTCCCAATAAGCCTTGTTTAGAAAGAAAACTATGAATGGATTGCCAACAATTATCTGTACCAAAATAACCTTACTTTTTAATTCCATTTTCTCACAGAAATTGGAAGTCCGCGCAGAATTCATCACGCACCCGAGACAACTGATGCGGCCAGCCACCGAGGAGCCAGTGCTGCTTTTACCAGCGCCTTCCAGTCCACCCGGGACCGCAGGCCTCCCGGCCTCTCGGCCACTGGTTCCACCGTGAGCGGGACTCCTGGGCAGGGTTTCTCAGCCTTGACGTGAGTGAGATTTAGAGCTGGACAATTCTCTGGGTGGGAGGCAGGGCTGCCCTGCACACTGTAGGAGATTCAGCCACATCCCTGGCCTCCACCTACCACAGGGTGGTAACACCATCCCTCTGGTACCTGTGATAAACAAATATTCTCCAGGTATTGCTGATGGCTCCTAAGGGCCAAGAACACCCTGGCTCGAGAAGCGTGGCGTAGATGAACGAAATCAGCCGTCATTCACTGTTCTCAGAGCCAGGGGCGTCCCAAGGCACCAGATCTCCGCTGTGCCGGCTGGATCCAGTGGCCAAAACCACTATGAATGCTTTCCGGGGAGACAGAAACAGTGCCACACTCCCACCCAAGCCCTAAATCCATGGAGCTCCTACATGCTGGTCTCTCACTAGTCACGGGGTCCACAACGGAGAAGACAGCCCATGCTCTTTTTTTAAAGATTTATTTGTTTATTTGAAAGGCAGTTACAGAGAAAGGGCTCTTCCATCCTCTGGGTCACTCCCCAAATGGCCACAAAAGCTAGGGCTGGGCCAGACCAAAGCCGGGAGCCGGGAACTTCTTCTGGGTCTCACATGGATGGCAGGGGCCCAAGTGCTGCTTTGCCAGCTGCATCAGCAGGGCGCTGGAATGGAAGTGGAGCAGCTGGGACAGGAGCTGGAGCCCACATGGGATGCCTGGCGCCACAGGTGGTGGCTTACCCTGCTGTGCCACACGCCAGCCCCAGCCCATTCTTTTTTTTCTTTTTCTTTTTCTTTTTCTCTTCGACAGGCAGAGTGGACAGTGAGAGAGAGAGACAGAGAGAAAGGTCTTCCTTTTGCCATTGGTTCACCCTCCAATGGCCGCCGCGGCCAGCGTGCTGTGGCCAGCGCACTGCGCTGATCCAAAGGCAGGAGCCAGGTGCTTCTCCTGGTCTCCCATGGGGTGCAGGGCCCTAGCACTTGGGCCATCCTCCACTGCACTCCCTGGCCACAGCAGAGAGCTGGCCTGGAAGAGGGGCAACCGGGACAGAATCCGGCGCCCCGACCGGGACTAGAACCCGGTGTGCCGGCGCCGCTAGGTGGAGGATTAGCCTAGTGAGCCGCGGTGCCGGCCCCCAGCCCGTTCTTAAGGGAGAACGTCTTACATAATGCCAGTCAGACCCCTGTGCATAACTCCGCAGTGCTCAAGAGGCCACCCCGATGGTCGGTCTGAGCCTGTTTCCTGAATAATTACATGAAGGGTAATGATACCGAGGACATCAAGTACCAAGACACACACAGGCGCAACACAGTTTAATAGAAGCGTCTAGACAGCACAGCTGTCTCGTACAACTCAGGGGTTTGCAGTTACAGGATTTTAGGGATCCTTGTCCCACTGCCAGAGGTGTAACAGTCCCCGCCCACTGCTTACAGGTTTGGTCCCTGATCCGCCCTGGGCCAGCGAGAAGAGCTCCCACACTGCTTGGCTGCAGTACTGGAGCAGGGGATGGGCCCGTGACCCAGCTGGGACCAAGCAGAATCCTCCTCTAGGATTTGTCTCACTTGAGCAACAGCAGAAGTACTCTCTCTTTTCTGGTCTTCAGGCCAGGGGTTCCTATGACCTCACTCCCCAGAGACAACCAGCCCGATGGCGACGGCAATGGTCAGAAAGCAGCAGACAAGGGAGATGAGAGGGAGGGTGAACAACACACCAGTGCAATCAGTGGCCCTGGCTTTGCTCGTCCCCAAACCCGGTGACTGTGCCCCATGCAACCTTGACTATGTAAGTCTAATGTTCTTTATTTTGCTTGAACTAGTTCAGGGTCAGTTTATATCACCTGCAAAAGCATCCTAATAGATTCTACGCCATGTACATGGCACCCCATATCGGAGTCCTGGCTGCTCGGCTTCCAATCCAGCTGCCTGCTAATGCACCCGGGAAAGAGTACAAGTAGAAGGCTTGGGCCCCTGCTGTCCACCTGGGAGACACAGATGGAATCTCTGGCTCCTGGATTCTGCCTGGCTCCAACCCAGCTGCTGCAGCCAATTGGGGAGTGAACTGTGGGATGGAAAATCTGTCTGTCACTCTGCCTTTCAAATACATGAATCTTTTTTGGGGGAAAAAATAGATCCTACTTCACAGATGAGAAAGCAGCGTTCTGAGGGAAGTGTAACTTGCCCAAGGTCACACAAGGGTGACCTCCCCATCTCCAAGTTCACCCTATTTCCACTGCACCACATCACTGGATCTTTGGCAGGGGGAGGGAACGCTGAGCCCTCAATTGGATATGTTGTCACTACTAAGGGTTCTCCACCCTTCTCCATGCCAGAATCCCATGGGCCCACCCAGACTTGATACTGGAACACAGGCAGGAAGAGGGCAGCATGGGCCAGCATAGTGGCACAGAGGGTTAAGCTGCCACCTGCAATGCCATTATCCCAGATGGGCATGGGTTTGTCTCTCAGCTTCTCTACTTCCAATCCAGTGAGCCTGGGAAAGCAATGGAAGATGGCCCAAGTCACCAGTTTTGAGTCTCGGCTCCACTTCCAATCCAGCTCCTTGCTAACGTGCCTGGGAAAGTGGCAGAAGATGCCCCAAGTGCTTGGGCCCCTGCACCCATGTAGGAGACCTAGATAAAGGCCTTGGCTCCTAGCTTTGTACCTGCCCAGCTCCAGCCATTGCAGCCATTTGGGGAGTGAACCAGCAGATGAAAGATCTCTGTCTCTCCCTCTCTCTGTAACTCTGACTTTCAAATAAATAAATCTTAAAAAAAAAAAAAAAAAAAAGCAAAGAAAAATGGCTCAAGTGCTTGGGACCCTGCCACCCATGCCATCCAAGACACAGATGAAGCTCCTGGCTTTGGCCTGGCCCAGCCCTGGCCGTTGCAACCATTCAGGGAGTGAATCAACAGATGGAAGATCTCTCTCTGTCTCTGTCTCTCTCTCTTTCTAATAAATTAACAAAAAACGTAAGGGGAGGAGGAGGAGGAGGATCAATGCCAGGCTGCTTCCCTGTGTGCAGGCGCGAGTCCATTCCTGCGGGCATCCTGCTCACCTGCCGCACCTGCCCCACGCAGGCCCTCGTGACTCAGTCATGGAGCCCGCCATCAGGGTCTATGGGCCCCACTGGAGCGAGAGCACTTGGGCTTAAAGAAGCAGCTCCAATCCTACTTGTCCAGAAGCACAGAGAGGCAGACGCGCCTTTGCTCTCATCTCGTTTGGAAAGTGGGGATAACCCAGAAAGGAAAAACCACCTGAGCAGACAGTGCTGATGCCAATCCAAGCTGTAAGACCCAAGACCCTGTACAGCAGAGAGTAACAACCTATTCAGGGATTCCCCAAACAGAGAGATACTGTGCTTTGTTGGGGGTGGGGAGATACTACAGGACCTAAGAGACATGGAGTCTTTCTCCCTGGAATAAGGGCGACACCCCAGGCCAAGTCAGCAACCTCGGGTACTAATAGGTCCCCTCTACAAAACGGGGCCTGCCTAGGGTGCTTGCATGGGTCCCCATCATCTGTGGGATCTGGGATCTTCCCAGCTCCAGGACACGGGGAAAGCGCGATGAATGTGGGCAGAACATCGGTAAAGCGTGCGGCTGCTTTACCTCCATCTCACAGATGCGCTGGGCACTCAGGTTGTCACGGATGATCACTCGGGACAAGTGGTTCTTGGGTAAGAAACGTTTCACGGCTGCCTCGCTGGAATTTGTGACGCTGTTGGGAGGGGCAGGGGGAGATGATACAGGTTAGAGGAGACCACGGCTGGACCCAGGGCAGGGCCAGCGCCTGGTGGGACAGTGCCCTAGCGGGGGTACCCAGCATGGTTCGGTCAGTTTTCACAGGAGTAGCTCATTAGCTGTCTCCATTCAGAGGGGCTACTGGGGGGGGGGGTGTTTCTTGGATGCCAAGAACGAAAAACGCGGCTCTTAAGGGGTTGAGGGCCCATCCCAGAGGCTGCCCGTGCCACACGAGGTCAAATCCAAGGGGACTGAAGGGTCAGGGCCAGTTCAGAAGAAAGGTGAAGTCAGCCAAAGGAACATAAATTGTCAGAATCCAGAGTTGGTTGCGTCAACCCTCACCACCTTTTACAGAAAGAACTGTGGAAGGGCCGTTGGCCCAGCATCTGTCTGTCCAGCCTAGGGCTAACACGGCCCAAGGTCAAGGTTTCAAACCCCCTGACGTCACCCTCTTCCCCTCTGTTCTCCCCAGGACGCGCCCAAGGATGGACTGCGCATGCGTAGTGGCGCTAGTCCCACAATGAGTGTCATTGTTCTCCAAGAATCGCTCTCTGGTCGGGGGGCAGGGAAGGGGGCTTGAGGGGGTGTGGAGACGGGGGAGCTGGGCAGTAGCGGCGCCCTCCCTCGGGGTCTAAGAAACGACCGCGCCGTGAGGCACGCGGGGGTCTGAGAGCCGCGCCCGGCCCAGGGCCGCACCTGACGAGCACCAGAGGCTGCGGGGCCCGCGGCGGCAGGAAGTACAGCTGCGGGTGGACCCCGAGCACCAGCTCCGCGCGGCTGCCGAACCTGTCGCGTCGCAACTCGGGGCCCCGGGGGGTGCTGGGGCCGGGGGTCGCCTGCGCGGCGGCCTCACAGTCCTCGGACGGGGCCAGGTCCCATGTGACCCTAACCGGCTGTGTCGCGGGGTCTCTCGCGACGGAGGGCAACTCGGCAATGGGAGTCAAGCTGGAACTCATGGTCCGAGAGCGCAGGCGGACCCGGTGTGAGAGAGACCCGCCTCCCTCCACCCGGGCCCGCGCCGCGAGCCGAGCGCCGCGCGTTACCCAGGGCGACGCGCGCGAAGGGGCGGGGCCCGAGCGCGGAGCCCCGCCCCCGGAAGCCGCCGACGCGGCAAGATTGTCCCTCGGCGGCCGCCGTGGTGCGACTCGGCGCGTTGCCGTGGAGACCGACTGGGCGGGATGGAGTGGGCTGCGGTGAGCTGATTCGACGCGGCCTCGCCACCGGGACTGCAGCCGCCCCGGCGCGGTCGCGGGGCGGGTAACCCTGGTGAGCCGTGGGACCGAGGCCGGGATTTCGCCAAAGGCCCAGCATAACGTGGGACCATCGCTATGGAAACCGGGGCGCTGTACCGGCGGGGACTGTGGCTCCGGGACCGTGACTGCTCCGCGGCCTCCCCCCAGAGACCCTCGCCCGAGACTCGGCGCCGCGGCCGCTTCCCCAACGAACCCGCCAGCCCTCCTGCGGCCGAGAGGTAAGACGGTCCGTGGGGTCCTGACGCTGAGCTGGCGAGGACGCCCACCCACCTGCCCCCGAGGTACACCCACCTGGGCCAGCTTCGGGTCGCTTCGGGCCTTCGGGCCTCGAACCACGGCCGACGGGCGCCTGCGACTTCCCAGACTTACAAACGGGTGAAGCCGAGCTGCTCGCAAGTTGCTTTTTTTTTTTTTTTTTCCTAACTCCCTGCCCCTTGGGCCAAACATCTTGAGACGCCCGGGCCCTTTCTGCACGCCACCCCTGGCCCCCAGCCTGGAACTTTTCATTTCTGCCCAAGGCCTTGCTGGCCCCGAGAGCTGTGATCTAAAAGCCACCTAAAAGCGAACGCGCGGTTTTTGCGGCTTTGCTGGCCTGCGTGGGCAAGGGACGGCCCAGATGGGGGTGCATGGCGGCAGATGGCGGGGTGCTGAGGCCCCGCTGCCTCTCTGCCCTTGATCCTGGGGTTGCTGTGGCCTGCCCGGAGGCTTGCGGCCACTCCCTTCCCCAGGCGCAGAAATGTGAGCAAGCATGGAGGACCGTGTTGTTTGACATCAGGTCCACATGGCCGGCTTCCGGAAGTGAGAGGCTGCCACCCGCCCTGCTCTTACACGGCCCTCTCCAGCCACTCCCAGGACGGGGGTCTCAGGCCCCACGTCCTGGGTCAGGGTCTGTGACATGGGGCAGGAAGTCAGAGGACCCTGGACGGGAGCCCATGCAAAGTGGTTTCCGCTTAGAGGGACTGGAAGGCAAGAGAGAGTTTTGAAGGGAGGAGACTCAGGCCCGTTCCAGTAGGGATGGGGGGCGGGGGGCTTTGTGCTGAAGGGCAGTGCCCATTGGACCACCTGCGGAGAGTGCTGCAAATGCGGAGCCCGTGGGTTTTGGGGAGGCCTGGGTGTCTGTATTTCTCCTGAGTTCCCCCCACCTGGGGCGATTGAGCTGTGATGCTCAGAAGGCCGCCTAGGGGACGCGCAGACCCCTCCCCGGGACCCCGCGGGCCGGGCCGCCGGCCTCCCCGCTTGCTCAGTGCCCACTCCGGCCCCGCAGTTTCCCAAGCAGCCAGATGCAGGCCTCCCGCCTCAGCGCCTTCTGAGCCCCCGCCTTGATGAGCGCAGCCTCGTGTGCCTTCCCGGTCCAGTTCCGGCAGCCGTCGGTCAGCGGCCTCTCGCAGATCACCCGGAGCCTGTACCTCAGCAACGGCTCGGCCGCCAACAACAAGCTGCTGCTGGCCAGCAACCAGATCACCTCGGTCGTCAACGTGTCCGTGGAGGTCACCAACACGGTCTACGAGCACATCGAGTACATGCACGTGCCCGTGGCCGACGCCCCCAGCTCGCTGCTCTACAGCTTCTTCGACCCCATCGCCGACCACATCCACGGCGTGGAGCTGAAGCAGGGCCGCACGCTGCTGCACTGCGCCGCGGGCGTGAGCCGCTCGGCCGCCCTGTGCCTCGCCTACCTCATGAAGTACCACGCCATGTCCTTGCTGGACGCCCACACCTGGACCAAGGCCTGCCGGCCCATCATCCGGCCCAACGTGGGCTTCTGGGAGCAGCTGGTCCACTACGAGTTCCAGCTGTTCGGGAAGAACAGCGTGCGCATGCTCAGCTCCCCGGTGGGCCCGATCCCCGACATCTACGAGAAGGAGGTGCGCTTCATGATCCCGCTGTGAGCCCCGCGGCGGCCGGCCAGGCCAAGGCCGAACTCTACCTTCCGTGGGCGCCTTTCCGTGCGACCAAGAAGAGGAACAAGAAGCGAGGACTGTAGCTTTTAACCTTGTAACCCCGAGTCCAGAGAGGCAGCTCACCCTTAGGAAGCAGTGAAGGGTGGCAGGAGGCAGCCGGTACCCTGGACAGAGAGACCCAGTGCCCAGGGCAGGTGGCGGCCCTCCCGCAGGGCGACCGGCCGGACCGAGTCTGCCACAGTCTCACCTGGTTTGTTGCCAACGCACAGCCAGAGCCTTAAGCGTCGCGGCACCGGCTGCGCCTGCCAACCTGCCGGAGAAGCGAGCTTTGGGGGTGCTCGGGAGCCTTGGCCGGGGGAGCCCCTGGCCCCTGCCTTCCATCCCGCTGCCATGGCCTCACTCTGGTTTTCTAGATCACACTTACGCATAAGGTAGTTTTCAGAGAAAGCGTCCCACTGAATAAAATTTCAACCAAAAACGCCCAAGATTCCTTTTGAGTGCTTCTGTGCGTGGGAAAGGTGCCGGGGAGCCCTCGGTGCCCCTTGGTCCCGGGCTCTCGAGGAGGGCGGGCCTGCCTCCAGCCCTCGGCCCGGGAGACCTGGGAACCCGGCCCCGTCACACGTCAGCATCCACGCGGTGACAGCCCGTGCCCGTTCCTCAGAGTCGGGAGACCTGGCGGTTCCCATGGCACTGCGCCCGGCACACGTGGTGCGTGCTCACTTAGCATCAATGGCGGATCCCAGCATGGGTGCTCTGCTTTTTTATTTTTTTCGCCTGCAGCTTGGCTGGTCCCAGGTCAGTAGAACCCTCCTAAGGGCATTTCCTGCCTGTGGTCTGTGCAGGTGGGGGCCTCATTGTTTACAAAGTGCTTCTCCCCCCAAAAAAACAAGTCTCCTAGGTGGGAAAAAAAATGGTTTCAGTCCTTTTGGGCCTGCCCTCAGAGGAAGCCTCGACTTAGGAGCCTTCTCAGAGCCCCCACTGTGTGACCCAGAGCCCCAGCCCCCCTCCACACCCCACAGCCCCAAAGGCCTGCTTAGAGTCCCTGGCAGAGCCAGCTCCCAGGAATCCCCGAGGCGGGGACGTGTGCCCTGGCGTCCAGCACTGTCCAGAGCCCCTCCATGCCCGAGGCCCTGGCTCAAGACCAGCGGTTCTACTCCAGAGGTTTTCAGGCAAACAAAAGCACAATCGCTCCACTGGACACAGGGCCCAGTGGAGGCCAAATGCCCTTTCTCTCGCTCCAAACCTCCCTGCATCCCTGATTTCCCAAAGTGCCAGGGCTGCCCTCTCTGGGAGCCAGAGGAAAGGAGACACATCCCTGTTCTAGAAGATTCTCTCTTTCTACACAGGCCCATGGAACACCAGAGCAGAGCCCCCGCAACCAGCGTTTCTGGCAACAACCCAGATGGGAACATGTCTTCAAAGGCTTTTGTTCAGTATACTTTTCTTCCATTCCATTTTTTTCTTAAATACTAATTTTAATGGCATCAAGTTAACTCTGTGGGATGTACAGTTCTGTGGGTCCTATGGATCCCTGTGTGCACCGCTGTCGGGACCCAGGACATCGTCCCCCAAGCCCCCTCCTATTTTCCCTTCCTGGTCAAACTCTATCCCGATAGGCATCTGCTCTCTGCATTTCCAGTCGCCTTTTCCGGGAGGTCACAGAATCACACCAGCAGGACCAGGAGGTGGCCTTGACACTCAGGCCATTGCTTTCCGTGGCTGAGAGCTGACTGCTTCACTGGACGGATGCAGCAGTTTGTTTCACGCTAAGCACTGCAAGGATGGACTTCAGTTGCTTCCGGTTTCTTACCAAGCGCGAACGAAGTTGCTGTAGACATCTGTGTGTATATAGGTTTTTGGGTGGAGGCAGGTTCTCCCTCCCCTAAGGGGTATTCCTCAGTGGGAAGCGGAGTCACAGGCGAATGGACGTCTGATGTTTCCAGGAGCCAGCCAGACTTCTGGAGCGGCCGTTTGACGTGTGGTTTCTCTGTCTTTGCCAGGACTTGGTCCCACCAGCGTTCTTCACGTGAGCCATTCCAGTGGGTGTGTGGATCTCACTTTGCTCGTGGTTCATGATGTTGACCGCCTCTGTGTGCCTAATTTCCTTCCATCTCTCCCCTTTGAGGAAGCACCTGTTCCGGTCTATCCAGTGGCTTCTTTTCCCACTGTTGAATTTTGAGAAACTGCATCTATCCTAGAAATAAGTCTTTTGTCAGATCTGCAGTTTTGCACGTGTGTTCACCCAGTCCAAAGCTGGATATTTTTTTTTTCATTCTCTTAAAACTATCTTTTGCGGGTCAAAAAAAAAAAAAAAAATTGGCACAAGATAATTGTGTGTACTTCCAGGGACGGTGTGACGGTTCAGTGCCTGTGTGCCGTGTGAAATCAGATCAGGGTAGCTGGCGTATTTCTTTACGCTGGAGACAGCTATTTTGAATTGTTCTATTAATTGCTGTCACCAGAGTTGTCCTACTGTGCCATGGAGCACGAGCAGTTATTCCTGCTGTCACACTGCACCCCTGTGCCCTCAGCCATCCCCTCTCCGCCCCTCCTTGGTCCCAGGCCCTCGCAGCCCCCACAGGTGCTGTCTGCCTTCCTGGGCCTGACTTATCTAGCCTCACAGGAGGTCCTCCATTTGCATCCACGCTGCGGCGAAGGGCAGAACAGCATTCGTGTTTGGCTGACCGTGTTTGGCTGACTCTCCCGCATGTATCTGGGCTGCACCGCTTTATCCACGGATCTCTTGCGGGGCGCCAAGGCGGACTCCGTAGCTTGGGCCTTGTGAGTCGTGCCACAATAAACCTGCAGGTGTGGACGCCTCTCCCACCTGCTGCGTTCAGTTCCTTTGCGAATCTACCCAGTAGGAGGATAGCTGGATCTATGGTAGTTCACAGCGTCCACACTGTCTTCCCTGGAAGTCTTTACTCCATTTTGAGTTGGTTTTTGTAT